AGCAACCACTTATATACGTATGTAAACAGTAACTATGAAGTGTTGTTTTCTAATTCCACATATTTTGCAGCCATAAACGGTCTTCTCTTGATAGTGAGTATTTTTCATCCACAAAACGCATATTTAAAACCATATACAAATGAGTGTCTGTGTGTGTAAAGAGAGAGAGAGAGAGAGAGAGAGAGAGAGAGAGAGAGAGAGGAGATAGGAGGGAAGGTTTGAGATAAAAATCGAGAGAGAAGAAGAGAATGAATAACAGTGTGATACAAACAGGTGCGCATAACTTTCTGTCGACATAAGGAGACTCCATTTGTTTTGTTTCTGGCATTGCCCGCTTACCCATCGTTAAACGTTGAAAGACAAAATTACCTGTCACTGGCATGTCACAATAAATAACGGAGAACAAACACGCTGAGTGAGACTTGCTCAAATGAGTCAATATAAATTGAAAATTTTCATTACAAAGACTCTTACACTCTCTCCCCCTCTCTCTCTCTCTCTCTCTCTATATATATATATATATATATATATATATATATATATATAATGATGAAGAAATATAGTTATAAGATGTGCTATATTTATGGGATAAAGTGCTCAATATCAGAGATAGAGCGTGTGTAAATGTAAAAGTGAACATAGAAGTCAACACTTAGAGGCGACAGTCTATTTCATGCTAGATGCTATCATCAGGCCATATATATATATATATATATATATATATATATATATATATATATATATATATATATGTGTGTGTGTGTGTGTGTATAAAGTTTATTAAGCTTTCTTCTGAGTCTGTCCTACTGTCTCAAAAATAATCGGTTCATTTTAACTTGCAATTTGTGAAGGATTTTCTCAACTTTAAAATATTAAAATTCGATTAATTTACAAATCCTGGGGGCCATTTACATTAAAAGAAGGCAAAATACTAACAATGAAATTTGTTTCTACTTCGATGCTCTTTTAATTTGTAAAATACTATTTGCCACGTGACGCTAAATTTTTCCTTTGTCATTCATTACACGTGAACCAAGATATATTTAAAGCCTTTAACGTGCAACGATATAAACGCCATAATGGCTATTTTAGGGCTTTAAATATTCTTGCCTGAAAAACGACGAACAAAGACGAAAGTCTTCAGATCAAAACATTGTATTTTGGCAAGTCTCCAAATAATAAAAAAGAAGCAATTAAATCAACACCAGGAGAAACTCATTGAAAAGGAAAACATATACATTACAACGTGTTTGAATGAAGCATTGCTACGTTAATATACTGTTTAATATTATGTTTAGAACAAGTGTCGTCCTCCCCACATAACCCCATACACTGTTCCTCTTAGACTGTAACACTATACTTCAAGTGGCTTTTTGGCCTTGTACAGAGGGAACATTATTATTATATATATATATATATATATATATATATATATATATATATATATATATATATATATATATATGTGCATGCCTGGTACGTATGGGGGCAGCTGTGCTAAACGTGTGCGAAAATATCTTAACCAGTGCTTTTCTTTTTATGAAAGTGTTACTAAAATGGAAAATGCTATTTTTAAATACCTGAATTCTTTTTGCAAAACCCACTTCTCTCTCTCTCTCTCTCTCTCTCTCTCTCTGCTGCTCAAACATACAATTATATACAATTATATATATATATATATATATATATATATATATATATATATATATATATATAGTTTATGCAAAACTAGGTAATCTGTATGGGTAGACCCAAGGAAGATGATATCCAGAGAGCTCAATATAAATTCAGAGCAAATAGGTTTGAATAAAAACAGACCACTTTAAGCTTCCATGTAATAAGTTATTTCACCACAACCCTTTTAAAGGGCTCTGGATCATCAGACTTTACTTCCAAAAAGTTCAATATATATATATATATATATATATATATATATATTGTATATATATATTAATATACATTATATATATATATATATATATATATATATATATATATATATATATATATATATATATATAATTGTGTGTTTGAGTAGCAATCCCTCTCATTGCGATTAAGTTTTTTATTATTCAATTTTTCTTTTGTTCGTATAAGCGTTTCCTTGTAAAATACGTCCTCATGTTGTATATAACAAAGCACTTTCGCCTATTCCATTAGTCATTATGAAGGATCATTTTTTAAATGAATATATAGATTTTTATATATGTATATCTATAAGGATTTTTGTTTTCTGAACACGACGAACGTGTTGCGGCCGTGTTCTTAGCTGATATTTATTGAGTGTTGGCTTTTTGTTTTTAATTATTAATGCTGCCATTCATTTTAGATTTCTTTACATGTGGATGAGACTATTATAGACGTATTTTCTACGAGTGTGTTGCGAAGGGAGTTTAGTAGATTTCCGTGTTTAGAATAAATGGTTCCTAATTGAAATGTAACGTGTGTCGTCATTATAGTCTTTTAGTGGTATGTCCAATAAAACTATTCATAAATTTGGTTTAATCAGGAACACTGTTCCTTCAGAGTCAAGTTTAATATATATATATATATATATATATATATATATATTGTGATTACCACATCTTACTCAGATAAGAGCCGTCTCTGTACCATCGCATCACTTATAATGGTTTCCATCAGGTTTCGGCCTCCATGACTCCTAAGATAACTTTTAAGACCAGCGTTCGATTTCATAGGCATCATTCACATATGAAAGATAAACTTCCTATCTTGATTGTGTTCATTGGATTGACATGCCCTACAAGTCTCCTATACACTATCATGAGCCCTCTCTGTCCAGAGGATGATATGCAAACCTTGATTCAAACTACACAGGGTTTATTGGCGGTACCAAGAGGAAGGTTGGCATACATAGATATCCTTTCTGAAAATAGTGATTGTGAGTTTTATTCATCAATGCATAATTATATTTCCTTCAAAATAATTTTGGTTTAACAGAGGATATCCTCTGTTAAACCAAAATTATTTTGAAGGAAATATAATTATTTTAATCATTCCAAGGTGTTTAATATATGTGTGGAGGTTAGAACATTTGCTTTCTGGTCATGAGACGAGGGACGAACTGTCTTATCTTAGGGGCAATCTTAGCGAGCGGGGCCTTCGGAAAAGCATACCACGGTGAAATAGGTAAGACGTAACCCTTCGGAAGACTTCGATAGTTGTGATCGTAAAGGTCAGAAATGGTTCTAAAGTCCCTGATCGAGGGTTTGAGTGGACTAGCCTTGTTCAAACAAAAATGATCACACCACATTATGCTCTCTATGTCTCCCGCCTTCATTCAGAAAATATAACAATGGTCTGCTTAGCATAGTTGCTGTATAAAACTATAGTTGTATTCTGGGGGTGTACTCTGAAACGAATACACAGGTATTATATTTTTTAGGGTGTAGCGAACATGGGAATAAAAACAAAATGAAAACTTATCTTTACCAACCCGGTTCGTCCCTCTGATAGCCTTTATCAAGGTAAATGTAAAAAAAAAGGACAATACGATATTACGTTATATTACCTAATATAAATATTAAATTATATTACGTAATATAAAATATTAATATTGTCAAAACAATAAAGAACAAGTGTTTTAATTTTAGACACAGTAATAAAAAAGGAAAAGCCAACACTTAATAATATTAACTATGATCACGGCCACAATGTGCTAACAGTGTTCGGAAAATAAAACATCTCTATAACACTAAAAACATACACACAACGCACACACTCAATTATATTGAAAAAAATAAAAAATAAATAAAATCATCCTTGCTAATGGCTAAAAGTATAGCCAAAAGAGCTCGGAATTATAGAACATTTGGACAGTTTCAACACAATCTGTGTCCCCAACACAAAAAAAAAAAAAATTGTTCGAGCACAAGAAAAATTAAATAAAACGTTTAATCCTAGTACCTTCTCTGACCATATATATATATATATATATATATATATATATATATATATATATATATATATATATGTGTGTGTGTGTGTGTGTGTGTGTGTGTGTGTGTGTGTGTGTGTGTGTTAAAATATATAGAAAATAGGAAAGAACTCGTTAGGTAAATAATCCAAAAAGTAGAGCATAAATATAATTATTTATTTAAAATATGATTCAACACGCTACATAAGAGTTCTCATGGTTCAAAAACATGTTTGAAACATCAGAACTCTTATGTAGCGTGTTGGAATCATATTTTTAAATAATATATATATATATATATATATATATATATATATATATATATATATATATATATATATATATATAATATATGAGACATTTATCAGTGTTTAAATTTTATTAAAGCTTCATCAGAAAAAAATAAAAATACAAGAATGTATTTTCCTCCATATCTTGTTTGGGCTTAAAAGCTTTTATATATTGCAAATATATTTCAAATAACGATAGACAATTATCGGTGGAAGTGATCAGTGATGTCAAAGAAAATTAAGTATATTTGGAAATTCGGAGTGTTGTGTTCGAATTCCTGTCGAGTTCGTTAAATTCAATTAAGCGCAAATACATTTGGGAAGGCTATGAATTCATCTGCCCCAGTTATAGATTAAATAGCAGGAAAGACTGATCTCTCCAGCCGTCGTTGGCAATACGTATAGGGGAAGGACAAACCTTACGTGTCTCAGGCATTGCGATAAAAATTCCTTGAACAGGATTTCTCTTAGGTAACGACCATAGTGCTTCATCAAAAACAACTAATGGAAGAATAGTTGTTGCAAGGATCGACATAGTGGATTATGCAACTATTGCATTTAGTTGCATTTGAATTAAAGAAGGACAAAAATGGCGGGAAAATTTAAAAGAATATAAGGATCACAAAAAGCGAAAAGAAATCGCTTGATTTAATGCATATCATTTTGGCGGTAATTATCATAACGAAACTAAATCTTAAATCCATCGTCGATTGAGTTCAGTGATTTAATCATGCAAAAAATAGAAAAGAGAACCGAAGCAAAGTCACACACTTTCACAAACAAATCTCATCGACAACAAAGCTGAAAACGCTTACCTTAAAAAGCCTGAGAATATTAGCCACCATAATGGAGACGAGGCTTGAAGCGGCTCCGATGACCCCTACGACGGGTTTCTTGGGTGAATACTGAGGTGGGCGCCCGTCCGTGCATGTGTAGTCCGTCATATCCAGGTTGCGGGCACGAATAAAATCCATAGATTGTTCAAGTGCGTACGTATCGAAACTGCACGTGTCCAATATGTGCACCCCGACCTGAATGTTGGGCAAGAGATTCGGGTTTTCATTGATTCGGTCGACAGCGAACAGCATGGCTTCCATTCTTTGGATGCCCTTTTCTTTTTTAATATTGCCACAGGCATTGTCCCCCTGTCCTTTCTCGTGCATGGGGAATAGGCCGCCGAACACGACGTCACCATCGATCCGAATCTTTTTCTCAGCCATATTAACCTTGCCCTCGGCGAACCGTACGGTCGAGAGACAGGGGCCAAAAATTGGTAGGTTCAAGGTGGAGAGGGCCGCTACCAGCAGCCCGCAGTAATAATAATAATAAAAGTAGGAAAATGAAAAGGAGAATTGGAATGAACAACATTGTGAAGATGTCTGTGGTGATACCGTGGAAGAAGTGGACGACGAAGCTGAGAGAGAAGACCACGATCCAACCATAGTTTTTTTAATTTATCTTCTCTTTTTTTAATTACTTAATTCGTTTAGACACTCATCAAATCACTTATTATCTAAACAAATTAAGGAGACTATATACATATATATATATATATATATATATATATATATATATATATATATATATATATTATCTGGATGCGTGAGATTTTTTTGTGTTCGAAACACATGTGTGAGTGTTTGAGGGTTTTAGTTTTAATGTGTATACAGTTTCCATTTGCACAAAACCCCCAAAAAAAATACAGGACAGTTTCACCTGTGCTTCGCCTGATGTGTTATGGAGTTTGCACACACCCGACTGGAAATAAATATATACATAGGAGTACGATGTAGATGTTCGCTATGTTGATATATATATATATATATATATATATATATATATATATATATATATATATATATTTATATATATATTTATATACAGCAAACAGAGATAGTCTTCTGTATATATATAGATAGACCAAACTGTTTTTATATGCTGAATGTTTTCCTGAAGTGTTTCTCATTTTTAGAACACGTTTTAGTGAAGGTAGTTAAGTTTTTTTTTTTTTTTTTTTTTTTGTTTTTTTTTTTTTGCTGATAATGCAATATGAAATTAATATAGCAAATCTGACATAAGATTTTAAGCCAAGTTCATTAGCAATTAGCTTGTGCACACACACAAACACACATGTCTATACAGGTAAGTTTGGCTCAAGGTCATAGTTGAGCAATTTCCTTTGAGAGACAAGCTATAAATGAACATACATACACACACACACACAAGCATATATATATATATTCAACTTTTATATATATGCAATTAGTTTTTGTTACTTATATCGCAAATGTTCATCGTGATATTTTGAATAATATTTGTAATTAATTTAATTTAAATTAATATTAATAAAAAGAAAAAAAAAATAACAATTCAGAATAAAATAAAATCCACTTTAAATTTAATCTAAACAATTCAGTTATTTTATGATGAAGAAATAACTACATATTTGTAAACGGTATTTTTTGTTTTGTTTTTTAGAATAACGTTTTTTTGACTTATTGTCTTTCATATATATGTTACTACTGATTGTATTTTGTTTTCGAAAATAAACTGCCATTTGGTACAATCCGGCTTTCTTATTTTTCATCTAGGAAATTATTTCATCTTTCGCTTTTGTTTTCACGTCTTCTTCGCCGCTTTGTCTTCTTGCCAACTCAGGTCAGCGAATATTCGCCAACAGAAGTGACTCAGAAACTCCGGGTACCCCTTTTCAGGGTTCACCCCTCTCATCGAATTATCGTTTTTACTGCAACGATTGCTCATTACCCTCTAAAATGATGCGGCTAGTTAAAACGAAAATATAAAAAATAAAAAAAATAGAAGGTACGGAACTGCCAAGGAAAACCGTAACTCCACAGCGTTATAGCTGTTCCTAAAATCACTAGATGAATAAACACTGACTGCACTGGAAATGGGGTACGTAATACTTTCCAGCTCTCAATGCGCGATCAAAATACTCAACAGGCTGGTAGAAGAACTTTAAGAAGCGTGGTAGTTTGGGGTTGCTGCCGAGAAAGAATGGGTAAAAAATAGATCAATGTGAGGGATAGAAGAAAAAGAGTTCGGAATATACCCGGGTAGCGGTAATTCAATATTGTCAAGATTAGTGGTAATATGTCAACAGGTGAAATGTTGATATAACGATGAAAATTTGGCGGAAGACAGAAACAGTTATTTTAATGGTTAAAAGGGAGAGGTTCTGCTAAATAATGTAGAATTGAGAGAAAACATCGTAGCAAGGACAAAGGAAGAGATTTCTAGAAATGGAGGAAATTATGTTGTTGTTGTTTTTTTTTTTTTTTAAATGTAAACGCTTCTAAAATAAAATAAATAGGAATAATGTTAGAACTGCTAATAATCATAATAATTTTTAGAGGCTAGATAATTAAAAAATAACCCCTCTCTCTATATATATATATATATGCATGTATATATCTATAAGGGATGACAATAAGCCTCTATGGAAAGGAAAAGAAAAATGTAACTAGAACTTAAAAATTAATCAAACATAAAAGTTGTAGCGGTTAAAACGAATGCAAATAACGGTATACGATTTCCGATTAGTGACAAAGCTATGTCAAATATCGGTTCTTTTAAAAAGAAAGAAATGCACCAGGATTTCCTGGGAGAAGCTGTATCGTTAATTATTAAGAAATATAAAGATAAAAGGGGCTGAAATTATACTTAAAAAGAAACAAACAAAAAAAAATAAACAAACAAGTAAAATAAGAGAAAGATTTGATATAAATAAAGAAGTACCTTAAAAAAGACCAACAATTTTTTTGATTTATTTATAGTCAATATCTGTTCACCGACGTGAGCCTTAGTAAGGATCGAGACCAAATTTATCAAGGTGAGAGTTGGAATGAGGAGAGGAACTTAGTATAATGTCTATCTTCCTCAAAGACTACACAGTTCAATTCTTCCGAAAAAAAAATATATATATATATATATATATATATAGTCGAAGGATAACTATCAGATCATGGCGAGGTAATAATGTTTATTTGTATTTCAGTTTACATTTTGCTTTTTTTTTTTTCATTTCAAATTTATTTAATTTAATTTTTGTTAATAACAAAAATGCATAATATGTGTGGAAGAATGAACTTTATTTTCCCTTGGGGCCTTTTGTTAAAAACATTATACATATATCCAATTAGATTCAATTTTATCGCAAGTTGTAACAGAAAATATTTTAAAATATATATACAAACTCACAGAAAAACACAAACATACATCTATCTATCTATCTATCTATCTATCTATCTATCTATCTATCTATATCTCTATATATATACACACAAATTGTTTTAACTACTTTCTTTTTATATATATCTATGCCTATCTATCTATCCATCTATCTATCTATATTTCGCTCTCTCTCTATCTATCTATCTATCTATCTATATATATATGTATATATTGATTGGCTTTTACAGATTTATTTTTTATCTCATAATTTCGATGCGGACAATTTTTTAATGTTTGCTTCTAATGAAAGTCCTTAACTTTCAATACCCATAATTCATCATTGCAAATTATTGTTGCTTTTCACAAAGTGGGCTTGGGTGTGTTAAATTTGCATGTTGTTCTTTCGAATTTTTTTTTTTCTGGGATATTTCTTAACAGCTTTTTGTTTTTGTTTTTTTTTATGTTACACACTTTTTTGTTTTAAAATAAAACTTCCTTTGATATCTCCAGTAATTTTTCAATTACTCTTTCCATTTATCTTTCTCATACAATTGATATATATATATATATATATATATATATATATATATATATATAACATATATATATATATATATATATATATATATATATATATATATATATATATATATATATATATATATATATATATATATATGTATGTATGTATGTATATGTATATATTTTACGTTTCCTTTTTTGGTTTGCTTCACGGCAGAAGAAACTACGCTACCGTATATATTTCATTTTGAAATAACATAATACATCTTAATAATTCTTCAAAGTTCCCATTCCATTAAAAGACAATTTATTTTCCATAATACACAAATTGCATTTTATTTAGCGTAGATTCTTTCATGGTAATATATCTCTAATGATATATTGCGATATTTGAATTTAGTCGAATCCCTTTTTCATAGCGCTATGCGGGTTTCACCTTTAATTAAATAGGGTGTTTTCTCTATCATGCACTCTTTTGATTTTTCACTCAATAATTTGTTTCCTTTCAATAAACATTTAATATCAACAGATATCTCTTCTGTCAATTTGTTAGTCGTTTTCTCTCGTTCTTTTTGCGGCTTATCTTTGTGGAGCTGTCCATTTATAAGCGATTAATCCATAATGTGCGAAGGACCTTTTTTTGAATTAACTCCGGTCACTTTGGTGTGTATTAAATCCATTTTGGTGTTGTGTAAGTAGACCTCTCTCAGTGACGGCGAAAGAGAGCAGGAGGATCACACGCTCAACAAGGAGCATGATCAACGAAAAATAAAAATAAATATATAAAAGAATCGTATTTTTTTTTTTTTTTTTGCACACAGAACAGAGTAGATTTTTTTTTTAAATGATTGAGAGAGATGCTTACACACGTGTACAAACACAATCTACACAATGTAGTACACACACCCAGGCGTGTATATGTGCCACTATTGTATTCGCTGGACTTATTTAGAGAAGCGGTTTGTACAAAACACACGCAGCTAACTGACGTAGCAACGCAGCTGAGACTTGGTAGACATCAGCAGCAGTTTTGACGCTGAAGGAGAGAGTGACGGGATAAGAGGTGAGGTGGAATTTCAAAGAGTCATAGCATCCTCCAGTGACACTCATACTTTCTTTCATGCTCTCTCTCCCCCTCTTTCTCAATCTCATACACTTTAAAAGCTCCTCCTCCTCTCTTTCTGTGATTTTCTCTCTATCCTTTTCGTTAAAACTCATTTTCTCTGTCCCATTCGCTCTCCATTTTTTATACACGCATACATAGAAGCACTCTCACTCTTTCACCCTTTCACTCTTTCACCCTTTCACTCTCTAATTCTCTCTTTTTCGTATGCGCATGCTCTCTATATCTGTTTGTCTGTGCGTATCTCTCTTTCGAGGTCCCTTCATGTACGCTCCTGATTATGTCATTAAAACGCATTTTCTTTCGATTCGCTCTTCATTTTCATACATGTATAAACAAACCTATCACTCTTTCTCTCTTGTCACTATCTTATTCTCTCAGTTTAGAATACAAGAACACCTTTTCTATCCATCACTTTGTCTACCTATCTCTCGTTCGAATTTACTCTATGAATATTCATTAATTCATTACAACATTCTTTCAACGTCACATTCGCGCTTCACTTTTTTCTTATTTTTATTTTTTTTACAGAGGCTCTTCCCACTCTAATTCCCCTATCTAATTCACACACTCGCCTATGAACTTACACACTTTCTATCTATAGTTGTCCCTTCCTATCTCTATTTCTAGTTTCCTGTTTGGACCTTTCCGATTACAGTCATTGAGCTGCTCTGGGACAGCTAAAAGTTCCGATGATTTCAGGAAGAAAAACGTAATAATGTGCGTTTTACAAGCCGAATAAAACGCAGATTAAAGTGTAAAATTAAAAATTTGAATTTATAATTCGTAAAATATTATTAAAATAAGGCTGAATATGACGAAGCATCTCGTAGCTATTTAAAATATTCATTTTAGTCTGGCACAAGGCTACAATGTGTGAAGATCTTGGTGAAATTCAAAATCACTGTAGAGAAGTAAATCTACAACCCTTGCTCGTTACCCAGGTGAGTTGACCTTCGTATTTGGGTCACGTGAGCATAATCCAATGGTCATATCACTGGAACCTATTAATGAAATGAACAACTGATGATTGCGAGAACCATATTAAAACTTATTAATTCAACCTTTAAAACTTTTTGCGTGGATGTGTGTGGTTTTTTTTTTCCAGTATTCGTATATTTGTCTGGATTCTAAAAACTAGAAAAAAGTTAGAATTAAACCAAAATTAAAATGATCTGGTGTGAACATCATACACATATTTAAGCACAGCATATATATATATATATATATATATATATATATATGTGTGTGTGTGTGTGTGTGTGTGTGTGTGTGTGTGTGTGTGCGTACAAATGTAATGAGAATTAAAATAATATAAATTCTAACGTTCATTTATTAAAAAAAACAAAAATGCTTATCTGATAACAATTTTTGGTTCTAACCAGTCGAAATTAACTTAATGCACCGAAACAAGAATGCATCTTTGTAGTGAGCAATTGTTTTTGTCCGCATATATATATATATATATATATATATATATATATGAATAAAGCCACACGGAAAACTTATATTAACCGACGCGTTTCGTCCGCTGAAGGCAATGCAAGGATTTTTATTTTATAACAACTTTTTATATGCAAAACCAAAAATGTTTTTGGTTTCTCAAAACAGTTTTTTTTAATGCAATAGTATTTAGATTATTTTAGTTTGAATTTAAGTTTATGTGTTATATATATTAAATAAAACGATGTTATGAATTTAACGTTTTCCTTAATTTTATAACATTTTTATAGTCATTTATGTTGGCTTTGGAAAGAAGAAATTCTGACAGGAATGGAGATATTTAAAAATTTAGATGTATATTTTGATAGGATTTGATAGCGGCACACGTTTAAGTAAGTTATTTATTTTTATTTTTTAGTGTGGCATTCTTTAGATCAAAATTCTGGTTGAATTTATTCCGATGCAAGACTAGTGCATTTGTTAAATTTTTGTGTAACAGTTCCCTTTTGTGTTCATAGTTATGTTTTTGTAAATTTCTCCAAGATTCCACCATATAGTGATTTTTCAAGCGTAGCTCAGATGTGGCACAAGGCGGAAAGTAAGAGACACCCAGTGAATATCGAACTCACTACTCAGTCGTAATTGTTTTAGTGAGACAAGCTTGTTAACCATTACACCACCTCGATTATCCCAAATATTGTGAGGAGGTGATATGGTTGTTTATTTTATATATATCTACTTCGGAATAATTAGTTATGGATATTTTGGGTTTTGCTCATAATTACAGATGGTGATGGATAAATTGTCGTATAAATACCCCAAAATAAAAAATAATACCGACATCTCATTTTAACAGATATATTTACCAAAATTATACAAAAAAATCTTCAAATAATAAAGAGTAAATTTACTCAATAAAATTGTCACTGGCTTCAAACACAAACTCCAGACGACTTCGGAATATCCTGTACCTCTTCTTGGCGGTCTCCTTGTTTAAGTTGGAAAATGCTGCCATAATTTTTGTCTTCATTTAATCTTTGGTGTTTCAACGAGTTTTGTTGCTCTCTCGCTCAACTGCGCCCCATACATAATAATCAAGGGGATGCAGTCTGGGGAGTTAGGTGGACAGAAAATGATTGGATTCTTCTGCTTGTGTGGCATAGTGCCAGACAGGACCTTACAGCAGTCAACCTCTTGACCTAGTACAGCACTATCTTCTCAAACCACTTGATGTAGGCCTCCGTGTTGAGTCTGAGGCCCACTCCAACAAATTCGGGATTTTTTATCAGAACGATCAGAGTGTGTTTTCCGAGCTGTTACCTTCGTAATCACTATTACACTCACCCAACTCTTTTCGCATCGTCTGCACCGGCATTAGATTGACACCCAAACTCTCTGAAATGTTCGTATTGAAGATTCTGGTTGGAATTCCAAGTAGTACAGCATGGTGTTTCCGAAATTTTGGCGGAGTGAATTGTGTCATGGAGCTTCTTTTTTCTCACATACAGTACCCAACTATACTATAAAATCAGAAACAAAAAAGCGCATGCGCGAAATTAAAAAAATATAAAATGACGACCATTTATCTACCCATTACACCCTGCATAATAGTTTTGGATATGGTTGCATTTATCTTGATGTTGTTTAGATGGGATAAATTGATTTAGTGGAAGTTATGCAGTTAGTAGGCAGCATTATATGTCTGTTTTTATCTCGTTTATTGGATCGACCAAGAAGCTTTAAAATAAAAATAAATAAAGATCTGATGCTTGCTCATCTCATCGGTTAAATTTTAAGAAATGGGTAGTATACAGTTGAGTAATGGATAGCAGTGCGGATTGAGAAATGGAAGAGCCGAGTTCAAATTCCAGTCGAACCATTACATTCACTCACGTGCTAATTGTGACATTATTTACCTATGCTAATTGGCTGACTAATTAAGCGTGGAAATTAAAAGCGAGAAATACTTAAGGCGAGAAGAAGCTATCACGAAAGACATACTGAGCGATGTTAATTTTTTTTTTAACAAAAGAAAGGTGGGTAAAGATTTTATTTTCAATTGCGAAGAAAAGTATTTTTTTTCGCAGAGGATAGAAAATTCGTAAGATCTCGGAACTGTCAGAATTAATTTATGCCATGACGTGGCGAGAACGGCAGACTGTGAATAAAAGATAGCAATCTGCCCATGGCAATAATGAAAATTTCAAATTGGTCAAGAGGCTTACAAAGCGGAATGCTAGAAAATAATCGGAAATTGGGTCAAGCATGCGACCGAGAAAGAATTAGCCGAGACCACCCCAAAGAAAAAGGAAGGAAGAAGAGAAAAATGAAAAGAATAAGCGATTAACTATCTTTCGGAGATATCATTTGGTTTTGGAACTGACCATGATAAAAGTTTGTTACCTGGACAGACTGTTGGCGACAGAATGCGATGATGTGAGGAAGACAAAGAGATTCAGTTGACCACTCAGATAATAACTTGGCGAAAATCCCGTTGATGAATTCCAAATGACATCAAATTGAGATAAATATTTAATGACCACAGTACGATTCGTGGGGGTTCTAGTCGGTGGAAAAGATACTTTTTTTCTTTGAGCGATAATTGTAAATTGAGGTCAGTCTAGCCACACCCACACTGCCGAGCGTTCAGTGGCTGAGTGGTGGCGTGAGTGATGGACGAAAATGAAAATATGAGAAAGAAGGGGAACCTGTTGACGCTCTCTGAGGGGATAGGTGTGAGATACCAATATGAGAAAGAAGGGAAACCTATTGACGCCCCCTGAGAGGATTGGTGTGAGATACCAATATGAGAAAGGAAGAATTTGGGAGGACAATTCCCTTAAGAACCCCTCTAAAACAGAAAGTAATGGACTTCCAAAAATGGGAAGTGATAAATTTTCCTCTCCGAAAACAAAGAAAATCCTTATTGCAGAATTGAAATTATCGAGGAACCCAAACCTCGACTGGCCCCCACCCGGTTTTGGTCGGCGTCCATATAAACGAACGTCCCCAGAGAAAAGTGAGGCAGACGCAGACAAAGTTGGGGCAGACACAACACGGTTGGTGAGAGTTGGAGTCACAGAGTTGAGCTGTGAGCTCAGAGACCAGCCTCACAGGAGCTGACTGAAAGATTTCCACGCATTCCGACTTAGATTTCTAACCAAAAACAATTTTTTTTTAAGAACGACTTAGACTCACACCACCAAAATAAGTTTTACGAATATCGCCTGAAGATACTAAAAAACAGTTTATTGAAAAACAACTTAAGATATTAAGACTCGCCTAAGAAACGCAAAGTGTCACGTATCCATAGAAGCGGTTTGGGAGAAAGACACAGTCCTGTATTCAGCAACCAGATATAAAGATACTTGTTATTCTTTTTTTAACCCATTTGTATCTTTCGAGTTGTTACTTTATTTACTTTTACATATACTTGTGCGATATCACCTTTGCCCCGAATTCGGTTTGCACTACGGCCCGACGCCTGATTGATTTCGCCTACCTAAGATCAAATCACAACGTGGGTAGGCTAGACTAGAAATCAAAGCAGTTACTTCGGTAACCAGACGTTGGAGGTGAGCTGGGAACGACAAAGCTGATGCCGAATCTAACCAGATTTCCATCCGAATCAGCCAAGCGTTAGATCGTCACAGGATAGCACGACGGGAGGCTCAGGGTGACGTCACATAATGCCCTTCGGAAAGGTATGGATCCTTTTCTCCTTCGCTTCTGGAAGAACAGACAGACCCGGTTCTATAGCCTTGGATGACAATTGGAAAGAAATGGCAAGCTACTGCGGGAAATAATCTGCCTCGTCATTTATGTATCGAAAGAT